GTAAGTTGATGATTTTGTTCTAGCGTATGTGATTTGGTTTTTTAAAGTTGTATGTGTGTATGTGATTGTTCTTAAGGGTTGGGCTTCATTCTGGTTTGGAGAAGATTTCGATTACAGCCGTCAAGTTCCGCTCTTCATGGCTAGAATGTTATGTTATTTATAATATATGTGTATATATATATATATATATATATATATATATATATATATATATATATATATATATATATATATATATATATATATATATATATATATATATACCCGCAAATTTTAACGCACACACATACACAAGCACACCCATCCACCCACACAAACACACACACACACACCTGCACACACACACACACACACACACACACACACACACACACACACCTACACACACACACACACACACACACACACACACACACACACGTTTCTCTACACATACACACACACACATAAAGTTCTACATACACACCCACACTGGAGATCATTTTCCCAGTTAAAGACTGTCGATATATTTTAGATAACAAAAACAAAACAAAAATCAATGCAACTGAGAATCCTCTACACAGTTGAGAAACACGTTTGCTCGAATGACTGTTCTTAACTGTCGCTCTTATTGTTCATCGCGCCTCACCTAAAGTCTGGATCCTGCCCTTGAGCGGACTCGAAACTTTTTTGTGCAATTTAAACCTTTTGTAGTGAATGGGGGGGGGGGTACGGGTGGGGTAGGAGGGGGTGGAAAGGAGGAGGAAGGCTGCTCGTGGAGGGGGTACATTGGTAAGGGAAGGGAAGGGAAGGGAGTGGATGGAAATGGAAAAGAAGGATGATTGGAGGAGGAAAGGACATTATGGGAGGTAGTGGGGATGAATAATTAAGAATAGAAGAAAAGGCTAGGGAGTAATCGGTGGGAAAGGGAAGGAAGGAAAGAGAAGTGTAGGATGGTAGAAGGGATGGTAGGAGGGATGGTAGGAGGGACAGGAAGGATGTCATAGGTAGGGAAAGAGGAGTTAAATCTTGCATAGATTTCCCTACAGTTTCATACTCAACAATTATCTTGTGTTACTTGTAAAAGGAGTCACTGATAATAGAGAGGCATGTATAGTCCCAGGGAAGGAAATAGATGCTATTGACGTTCCAAATCAGCAACAGCTGCTTTTGACAATTCACATTTTGGAATAGGTGCTCCTGATGCTTTAAATAAAATAAAAGATGATTTTGTCTTTGGAGATCAGGCAACATACATTTTTGACGATCCAGATCAGCGAAGATGTCCCTAGACTTCCAAGATCAGGGAACGGGTAATTACAACGCTTCAGATAAGGGAACAATTGTTTTGGGTGTAGCAGGTCAAGGAAGATAGTCTCTGGCATTCAGACCAAAGGAACAGGTGATTATTGTTTCGTGCCAGGAAACATATCTTCATTTACGAAAACGCTCAAAATATATATATATATATATATATATATATATATATATATATATATATAATATATATATATATATATATATATATATATATATATATATATATATATATATATATATTATATATATATATATATATATGGGAATCGCAGAAAATTATTAAATACAGAGGTCTAGCACACGGCTACAGCTTGGTTCCGATCGGCTCGGAGACCCTCGGTTCATGGGAAAATGGGCATTGAAGTTCCTGAAGGAATTGGGGGACAAATTGATCAGCGCTACAAAGACCAGAGCAAAAAGTTTCTTGTTCCAGCGCCTCAGTGTTGCGATTCAGAGGGGAAATGCCTGTTGCGTCTTGGGCACTAGTCCAACTTCAGAGGAATTCGAAGAAGTGTTTGACTTGCAACAATGATCGAACCCGTCTGTGACATTCATCAATGTTTCCCATTGTTGTGTTTTTCAAGAGATCCATAACCTTTAAGCACCTTTTGCATTATTATGTTTTGTATCAACCCATGCATATCTTGGTACCATCATGCAAATAAAGCACAAAAAATAAAAAAAGGAAGGGGGAGAAAAGCACACAGAAACTGTATTGGAGGGGATCTAAACATTCCCTCTAATGCGTTATGCGTGGTTTTCCTCCGAGGCTATGGGTCCCCCTTCTTCCAGCTAGAGGTGGTACTCCCTCCTATATATATATATATATATATATATATATATATATATATATATATATATATAATATATATGAGTGAATACATACCACTTAAGATTGGATGTGTGAAGAGCCTAAGCCTCGCATAAGAGAAGAATAAATTACATTCGAGGAAACCATTTTGGACCTCATTTATACACTCTGATATTGTCTTCTTCTGCCCTCACTTTGATATATGTTGTATTGTAGAAAGTTAAATGGTTACAACATTGATTAGTTATAAAACAGGAATACCAAATTATTTTTATTTCAAGTTGTATATTTCATTGAACTCATCGGAGGATTCAGTTGGAATTTTCCCTTTGTATCCCTACGCTGATACGCTGGGTACGGAAATTGACTGGTAGAGGGTCTCTCGCTGGTCTAATGAGTCTTCAAGCCAGATTTCTGAGAAAAAACTCTTGACTCTTTCAGCCAAGATATCTCAGATCTACTTGGGACAAATTTGTGCCAATAGTCAAATTACTTGTAGCTATTGAACTGTTTCCATATGGATGGCAAAGACACCTTCTTTACCAGCAGCAGGAGGAGCATAGGTGTTTGTAAAAGTTAGATAGAAAAGAAAAAAGTTTGATGCCAAATGCATGGCATTCCTCAATTGGCAGAGTGTAATCGCATATGGTCAACAAGCAGGAATAACATAGTTACAAAACATTAGAAAACGAGACTCTCTCTCTGCTGGAGACTGGCCAGGCTAGGTTCCGTTTAATGATATTGTTGACATCTTAAGCCTCGCGAAAAAAATTAATTAACTATAATTTTGATATTTATTTTTAGAGCTGAGCTTAATTAGGAAATCGAAAAACAGGACAACTTTCCTAGGCATTAAAGCATTAGCTCTCCCCTTGTCTTAGAGAGTAGGGGGAGCTGCACGTCAAGAAGTAGCTTTGATTTCTTGCTCGCCCCGCCAAGGAAAATATGATACGCGACATGTCATTAGTGCGAAATCTTATATAGTAAATGGAGGAATGACGTGACTGAGGCGTGTAAAATTGCTCCTGACCAAAGGCTGAATGGCAGTCGGTCAGGAAACTCCGTGTGGCTGGTTGGCTGGCTGATTGACTGGCTAGCTGGTTGGCTGGCTGGCTGGTTGGCTGATTGGCTGGCTGGTTGGCTGGTTTTCTGGCTGGCTAGTTGACTGGCTGGCTGGCTGGCTGGCTGGCTGGTTGGCTAGCTGGCTGGCTGGTTGGCTAGCTTGCTGGCTGGATGGCTAGCTTGCTGGCTGGCTGGCTGGCTGGCTGGCTGGCTGGCTGGCTGACTGGCTGGCTGGTTACCTCCTTTTATTGGCATTACCATCACATGAACCCCAACACTCAAGTGTTAATAATCAGCTATTAATAATCATATTTGTTTTTACTTATTTAAATTATTGCGAACTACGAATAATTTATTTATATTCCAATAGTTCCAATAACTCTTCATCGCCTGATTATGAGTATAGTTGATGGTACTCCACTGTGGAGAGTGTTCGAGCTGTAACCCAGCCAGTTGCTGGCACAACCCAACAGTGATTAACCGTTTGACCCAGCGACGGGCACGCGACCCATTGATCCACGTTATCGTTGTATAACTAATGTATTGGTATTGTAATGTCATGTTTACTAAGAATAAATCTTACTAAAAGTGCATATATAATGTATTTTCAGGGACTAGTCAGCATACGCCTAGATCTCTTGTTGATAGCTTCGACTTTCGAAATTGTCGACTTTCACCATAAACATCAGTGATTTCAGCTGTGGTGTCGATTCCAGCAGGTCTGAGTTCAATTCCTGATTGTCCAAATAGCTGGGCACCGTTCCCTCCCAGGTCCTTGTCCTTTTATACCTTCCAAATGCAATACAGTCATACTTGCTTAACGCTTTCTCCTAATATTTACCATATACTACCTCACTGTTAAAATGAAAGTAACATGAAGGGGTCCAACAGGTTATGGGAAATTAATCCTCTGGCTCTCTTGCCCCCTATTAGTGGAGTCAGCATTTGTATCTGGTACATGGATTTTGGGAAGCGATATTATCAATAATTACCATCGGGATATTAAAATAGTGTCGTAAATCTTGGAGAACAAAGAATGAGTAGAGGAAACAGTGAGAATAAAGTAAGGGGGAGGGAAACACAATCGAGAGAGAGAGACAGTGGCACTGAAGGTAACAGACAGTAGAGTGAAGCGCACCCAGCGATTCTTGGGCGTCTGTCTCAACCCAAGATTCTTTGGCTTAGACAGCAGTAGAAGTTAACAAAATCATAGCTGTCTCGTCTCTCTAAATGCAAGACAACGGGGTTTCTCATACATGTTTCTTGTGGATATCAGTCATATCCCATCACTCATTACTCGTCTGTGGTATAAATAATTTATTTTAATCCCCCTCTCTCAGTGTCAAGGGGGTCTAGTCACTTTGACGAGTTGGTACAGCGACGACCTTACGTCTTGCAGGTCAGCGCTCGATCCCCCGATGGTTCACTGGGTAGGGTGTCATATATAAGCATATATAAGGGTGTCATTCACTCATATATAAGAGCCCAATCCTCATATCCTTTCCAAAGGCTATGTTGTCCTCCTGATTTAATGCTTTGTATTGATAATTACCTTATCTTACATCGTATTTAGAACATGTTCACAAAATAGATATATATCAACTCTTGTCTATTAACCAAGTGACAATTATGCTCCGAAAATAGTTTCAACTTCACCCTCAACATAATATTATCGCTTCATCGTGAAATTAGATCGAATGTAATAGAGAAACAACACAAAAAGTCACACGCTGTAAAATATTTATGGGACTTGTCATTCTTTTATAGAAAAACACATTAAAACCCCAGTAGGAAGGGAAGAGGATGTTCGACATTTCTGGAGAAGTCT